TCTTATCAGGGAGGGCAGTGCCCCAGCGCCCCCTATGGGCCGGCCGCCACTGTTAAAAGGGAAACATTAGATGATGTTACTATACTACTGAGAGTGAACGAGATGATAAGATTTATAAATATTCATCCTCTGAGGAAAAAATGTAAAATTAAAATAGTGGTAGAAATTGAATGTAAGTTTTTCCTTATGTTTTCTGACCGCAGAGTTTCCAGTTTGCAGTTTGGACTCTTTAGTCCAGACGACAGCAGCTCCACTCCAGAATCCTGCAGGTTGTTGTTACTCAGGTCCAAATATCTCAGGACAACGGACTCAGAACCGAGAACCAAGGACAGAAATCCACAGCTTCTCTCTGAGAGGTTACAGCTCTTCAAGCTGAAGAAACAGACAGACATGAATATCAGCAAAATAGTTTTGATGGATTAAAAAGAGAATTTCAGTCTAGAACAAAAATGGAAATATCTAAAAACTCATAGCTAAACACTAAAATAGCAAACCTTCTCTTTGACAAAATATGAGGTTAACTCGTACACAGATAATGAACTAAAAATTGAAACAAAAAAATTAGTAAATACATTAACTTTAGATCTGCTCTAGTCTAAAACGCATAACTAATTAATTTTTATGTTACATTTGTCTAAATAAAAACTAAACTGCCACTACTAGATTAATAGAGTCTTTAATACACATAGTTGTAGCTCAGTATATTTAGAATAATAGTTACTGGAGGTTTCAGCTCCTGGTTAAGAAGACAAAGATTGTCAATACTTACATGACTTTGTTGGAAGCTTTGACTACTGGCAGCAGCCTGAGAAGAATTTTCTCTGAAGCAGAGTATTTTCTCAGGTCAAAAACATCTAGATCTTTTCCAGAGGACAGTAAGATGAAGGCCAGAGCTGACCACTGAGCAGGAGACAGTTTATCTGTGGAGAGACTTCCTGAACTCAGGGACTGTTGGATCTCCTGGACCAGAGAATGATCATTCAGTTCATTCAGACAGTGGAACAGGTTGATGCTTTTCTCTGCAGACAGTTTCTCATTGATCTTCATCTTAATGTACTGAACTGTTTCCTTATTGGTCTGTGAGGTTTGCCGTTTCTGTGTCAGCAGACCTTGAAGGAGAATCTGATTGGTCTGAAGGGAAAAACCAAGGAGGAAGCGGAGGAACAAGTCCAGGTGTCCATTTGGACTCTGTAAGGCCTGATCCACGGCACTCTGATGGACATAGTTTAGATTTGGTTTCTTCAAATGTATATTCCTCTTTTTTTGTTGTTCCATTAGATTAACTCCATCCTTGATGAAGGTTAGATGGACATGAAGAGCGGCCAGAAACTCCTGAACACTCAGATGGACAAAGCAGAACACCTTGTCCTGGTTCTGGTACAGCCCTCTCTCCTCTCTAAAGATCTGTGTGAACACTCCTGAGTAAACTGAGGCTGCCCTGATATCGATGCCACACTCTGTCAGGTCTGATTCATAGAAGATCAGGTTTCCTTTCTGCAGCTGATCAAAAGCCAGTTTTCCCAGAGACTCGATCATCTTCCTGCTCTCTGTGGTCCAGTGTGGATCTGTCTCATATCCTCCATCGTATTTGACCTTCTTCACTTTGGTCTGAACCACCA